GTAACTAGTGGGATGTGTCTAGTCTTATCTTGGTGCAGGTTGAATCCCAAACTTATAAGTTCCTCTAAGGTTGCAAATACGCCTTGCTGACTAGTGAATTCCAGCCAACTAGCACTAAACCTAGTACCAACGCTTTCTGCCGATCGCTTCCAGCCACTGAATGCCAACAACTCACTGTGCACCGCGATGGCAAGCCACCTAGTGGTATGGTGGCCACATTGCAAAGTTGACTCATAGAAATCGGTTTGCACCAAAGATAGGACTAGATGCACACACATTACACTAGTTACTGACTAGTGTCCAATCAAAAACAAGATGGGGCATTATTGTGGACAGTGCACATCTAAAGCACAGCAAACAAAGATAGAGAGAGATAATAAAGCTATATGAAAGGTATTTAGTGAACATAGGGAATTTTGTACTTCAGCAGAACATCATTACACGTGGATTGAAATTTATTTAGAAAACAGCAAGACTGAGCAAAGATATATTCACTTTTCAATTATTTTGATGTGGTTTTGTTCTCTGAGCTGGATAGTTAGTTTGCGAAGCTTTCATCACCTTACTGGGTGACATCTTCAGCGCATACTTCAAATTGAAGTGAGCTTTTAGGTTTCTCCACGAGTTTATTAATCATTCCTCCTGGTGACCTTGGACGTGATTGGTTGTTTATGTATGTTTTCACACCTTCTAGGTTACTTGTGTTGGAACTGATTGTTTCTGTGACTTGAACTTTGGCCAATCGTGTGTGAAGTTTCTTTCTTATTGGTTGATAAATTTTGTCTATCTCGATGTGTCTATTGATTGATGATTCACTGGAATGCCAAGCTTCTAAAAATTCTCTAGCATTCTTGTTATTTCCTTTGTCTAATATTTGAACGTTGTCCCAGTCGAATTGATGTCCGTGGTTGTCTGTGTGTAGTGAAATGAGGGAGTGCATATCATGTCTTTTGACGGCTAGCTTATGTTCGTGGATACGAAGACGAAGGGGACGTCCACTTTGGCCAATGTAGTGTTTTTCACAGTTGTTACAGTTTATTTTGTAGATGATGTTGGTTTTGTCTTCTTTTGCTGTTGAGTCTTTTGGTTGACATAGAATTGAGTGCAGCGACTTTGTTGGTTTGTGTACGACGTCAATTCCTAAAGGTTTGAAGAGTCTTTTAGTGATTTCTGAGATATCCTTTATATATGGTAAGGCGATTTTCTTTGTGTTTTCCTTGGTGGCTTTTGTTTTGGTAGGTTGGCTTGGGGGTATATGTCTCTTGATGAAATTCCGGGGATATCCATTCTTTTGGAAGACGTCCATGAGATACTTTTCTTCAATTTTTCTTAAGGTGGGAGTGCTGCAGTGAGTCCTTGCTCTCTTGAATAGTGTTTGTATGCAGTTCCTTTTGTGTGCTATTGGGTTGTTGCTGTTGTAATTCAGTATTTGGTCTGTGTGAGTTGATTTCCTATAAACTTGAGTTTCTAATTCTCCTGTAGTTGTTCGCCTGACTAAGACGTCCAAAAATGGTATTTTGTTCTCGGATTCCTCTTCTCTTGTGAATTTGATGTCGTTGAAGACGTTGTTTATTAAGTTGTGAGTTTTGTCTAATTCGTTTCTTTTGATTATTACAAATGTGTCGTCGACGTAGCGTATCCAAATCTTGGGTTTGATCTTTGGTAGAATTATGTTTTCGAGTCTTTGCATCACTGCTTCTGCAATCAAACCTGATATTGGCGATCCCATGGGTGTTCCTTTGACTTGTTCATATATTTGGCCGTTGAATTGGAAGTATGTTGTTAGGCATAGATTTATGCATTCCATCCAGCTTGTGTGTTGCATTTTTGATTGTTGTGGAAGTTGTTCGTCGTTGCTAAGTAATTGCTCCATGGTTTCTTTTGCTAGTTTTTGTCCGATAGAGGTATATAATGCTGTCACGTCGAAGGATACCATTATTTCTTGTTCATCTATTTGGATGTCTCTGATTTTCTCTAGGAATTGGATAGCAGAGTTGATGTGATCACTCCATCAACTCTGCTATCCAATTCCTAGAGAAAATCAGAGACATCCAAATAGATGAACAAGAAATAATGGTATCCTTCGACGTGACAGCATTATATACCTCTATCGGACAAAAACTAGCAAAAGAAACCATGGAGCAATTACTTAGCAACGACGAACAACTTCCACAACAATCAAAAATGCAACACACAAGCTGGATGGAATGCATAAATCTATGCCTAACAACATACTTCCAATTCAACGGCCAAATATATGAACAAGTCAAAGGAACACCCATGGGATCGCCAATATCAGGTTTGATTGCAGAAGCAGTGATGCAAAGACTCGAAAACATAATTCTACCAAAGATCAAACCCAAGATTTGGATACGCTACGTCGACGACACATTTGTAATAATCAAAAGAAACGAATTAGACAAAACTCACAACTTAATAAACAACGTCTTCAACGACATCAAATTCACAAGAGAAGAGGAATCCGAGAACAAAATACCATTTTTGGACGTCTTAGTCAGGCGAACAACTACAGGAGAATTAGAAACTCAAGTTTATAGGAAATCAACTCACACAGACCAAATACTGAATTACAACAGCAACAACCCAATAGCACACAAAAGGAACTGCATACAAACACTATTCAAGAGAGCAAGGACTCACTGCAGCACTCCCACCTTAAGAAAAATTGAAGAAAAGTATCTCATGGACGTCTTCCAAAAGAATGGATATCCCCGGAATTTCATCAAGAGACATATACCCCCAAGCCAACCTACCAAAACAAAAGCCACCAAGGAAAACACAAAGAAAATCGCCTTACCATATATAAAGGATATCTCAGAAATCACTAAAAGACTCTTCAAACCTTTAGGAATTGACGTCGTACACAAACCAACAAAGTCGCTGCACTCAATTCTATGTCAACCAAAAGACTCAACAGCAAAAGAAGACAAAACCAACATCATCTACAAAATAAACTGTAACAACTGTGAAAAACACTACATTGGCCAAAGTGGACGTCCCCTTCGTCTTCGTATCCACGAACATAAGCTAGCCGTCAAAAGACATGATATACACTCCCTCATTTCACTACACACAGACAACCACGGACATCAATTCGACTGGGACAACGTTCAAATATTAGACAAAGGAAATAACAAGAATGCTAGAGAATTTTTAGAAGCTTGGCATTCCAGTGAATCATCAATCAATAGACACATCGAGATAGACAAAATTTATCAACCAATAAGAAAGAAACTTCACACACGATTGGCCAAAGTTCAAGTCACAGAAACAATCAGTTCCAACACAAGTAACCTAGAAGGTGTGAAAACATACATAAACAACCAATCACGTCCAAGGTCACCAGGAGGAATGATTAATAAACTCGTGGAGAAACCTAAAAGCTCACTTCAATTTGAAGTATGCGCTGAAGATGTCACCCAGTAAGGTGATGAAAGCTTCGCAAACTAACTATCCAGCTCAGAGAACAAAACCACATCAAAATTATCCACCTGAGCTACAAATCTTCTCTATCATATCTAAACTTTTCAATTAGATCCTCATCTCACTGTGGCTCTACTCTAATATATTATATATAGCATTTTTATTACAATACACAACAGTTTACCAATCAAGTGACACTGATATGTTTGTTAACAATAATTAGTCAGTGTCAACATGTCAAGCAGTGGGGTGATAATTAACGAAGAAAATTGATACACACGATTAAAAGGTAGAAATGGTTAGACTAAATTAATTTTACAAGGATAACACGTAAATTAAAGATGAAGTGGTCAAAATAAATAAAAATAAATAATTTAGACAGTTATAATTTTTTATAGGTTTAGGGGGAGTGGGGCGAAGTAGTCCGGTTTATACATTCATGTAACCATGGCCAAAGTAAGGAAAGTGGCTGTACAAATTTCCTCTGAACACAGACAGGTTTGGCTTCTTCAGGTGGATTCCTATTGCTTCAGCTGTATGTAGAAGACAAACTCGTAGAACAAAATTAAGATTAGTAGAAATACGATAGATAATTTTAAATGCAGTATCAACGTAACGTCAACCTTATGCTCACTATCTACAAGGTGGGCTAAAATAGACCTGCAGAATAGATCTTGTTTATCCCTTGCTTAACCATGTTGGATGATGTTCGGAAATACGATGATGAACCTGCCTAATTGTACGCCCAATGTAGCTTAGCTGGCTCCGCAGCTGCAGTCAAACTGGTAGATGCACATAATGGAAGAGGCGAATTTAGGTAGTTTATCCTTATTTCTCAAACGTAGAACAGGGATGGTTGCATAATAAGCTGTTTGTAACTGCATTCTTCAGGCACTGTGTTATTATTTCGCTGATGTTGTCACCGAGGAACTGTGCAAATTATTTTTTTTTATTATTTTTTCTGACCACTTCAATCTTTAATTACGTGTTATCCTTGTAAAATTAATTTAGTCTAACCATTTCTACCTCTTAAATGTGTGTATTAATTATCTTCGTAAATTATCACCCCACAGCTTGACATTTTGACACTGACTAATTATTGTTAACAAACATATCAGTGCCACTCGATTGGTAAACTGTTGTGTATTGTAATAAAAATGCTATATATAATATATTAGAGTAAGGCCAGAGATGAGGATCTAATTGAAAAGTAAATATTTCTTCATACGAACTGTGATCAAGATTTGATCGGATAGTTGCAAAATAATTGAGCGCTGAGTGAGAAGTAGACATTTATAAAGTTATATTTGTAAAATCTCAGCGAAATTGAAATGATTAATTCCAACGTTTTGTTCGGCAATCTGGTCCGAACGAAACGTTGGAATTAATCATTTCAATTTCGCTGAGATTTTACAAATATAACTTTATAAATATTTCTTCGCTCAATCTTTCTCTTTTCTAACTGTCTAAATGGGGATTTTTTTCTATACTGAAATTCATTTTACTTTCTTTTCTTTGGTTGAAACTTTCAGTGTTTATTTTTCTGTTAATTTTAGCACTATGTGAAGATGATTGGATTCCGTGTGTACGACCAATTGATTATATCGCCTATAAAGAGTATTACAATCTAACAGTTCGATCAAAACCAAAAGATCCAACGAATGGCACTGATGATAAACGGAGTAGTAATAAGAATATTAAAAAGTCAAAGTACGCATCACACTCATCAAAATTACAAACAACTACAATGAAGACGACAGTGGTGTCAGCTGTAACTGAATCAAGTAAAACAAATGCTAAAGATACAGTGATTGCATTGAAATCTACAATATTACAAAGTCATCCAACATTACCAAAAACAATTTATTGCTTGCCACCAAATTTAGTTTGTAATGGACATTGGAATTGTCCAAATGGTGAAGATGAAGACAAGTGTCCACGTCCACCAAATGGTTTAGAAGCCTATGATGTATTTGTACATGAACATAACCTGTCAGATGGTAAGAAGAGTTTTTGCCATTGTTTTGCTAAAAGTGTCTGTGTGTGTGCGTGTTTGTGTATGTATGTGTGTATGCATACCGTTGAATGGTTTATATGTTTTTGATGTGGTGATGGTCTCTGAGCTGGTGGATAGTTTATTTGTGAAGCTTTCATTGCCCTAATTACTAGGCAACATCTTCAGCGCATACTTCATTCCGTTGAAGTGAGCTTTTAGATTTCTCCACGAGTTTATTTATCACCTCTCCTGGTGGGTGACCTTGGACGTGATTGGTTGTTTGTGTGTGTTTTTACACCTTCTAGGTTACTTGTATTGGAATTGATTGTTTCTTTGAGTTGAACTTTGATCCTATGTGTGTGAGGTTTCTTTCTTATCGGTTGATAAATTTTGTCCATAACGATGTGTCTATTGATTGATGATTCACTGGAATGCCATGCAGCCTTCTAAAAATTCTCTAGCATTCTTGTTGTTTCTTCTGTCTAATATTTGAACTTTGTCCCAGTTGATGTCCGTGGTTGTCTGTAGGCAGTGAAGCGATATGAGGGAGTGGTTGTCATGTTTTTTGATGGCTAGTTTTTGTTCATGGATACGAAGACGAACAGGGCGTCCACATTGGACAATGAAGTGTTTTTCGCAATCGTTGCAATCTATATTTTGTAGATGATGTTGGTTTTATCTTCTTTAATTGCTGAGTCTTTTGGTTAACACAGAGCTGAGTGATTGATCTAATTGGTTGTATTAGTCACTGATCGCTTCATTGACACAAAATTTATTGTATGAATTTCAAATGTTATTAAATGATTCTAGGCAACTGGCAGGAACCCCAGCTTGACTTATACTTCGTGCTTGTTGGCACTCACCAGTAAGTAAGGCGTGTCTACAACTTTAATTCCTCTCATCCGTTAACTGGTAAGGCAGGGTTAGTTAAGTGTTCAACAAACCGAGCAGTAGCACTAAGTAGCTCAAAAAAGACCTAAATGATGAAATAAAACAGATAGAAGAAGTGCTGATATCAAATAAGTAACTGTCCCATAAAATCCATTAGAAAGATCAGTAAAGGTAGAAAGCAAAATAAAATAATTGTGAAACTAGTAGTGATAACATAAATAACAAAATAGGAAAGAATATAAGTCACCTACTGTTATACTATATAAGGAGGAGACATCTGAGACCCTACGTGGTAGGATTCTTAATAAAGCAAGAATTAGGGTGGCATTTTGTTATGTACTAGTTTCCCCGTCGCCAAATTGTTATGTACTCGTCGCTAAATTATTGTTGTGGTCTGGTCGAGAAATTAATAGTCCTGACGCGAGAAGGCGGAAATCAGAAGACCACTAGGGTTGCGATGATACTTCTATTGTCCAAACACAAGGAGACGAAAATATAATGGTCTCACACCAAAGTGATAAGTAAGTAAAGTAGTTCACACAAATTGTGAATGCGAATATATATAAATGTTCCAGACAAAGCGTGGGAAAAATCATTAGACAGTCTTAACATGAATGGCTAATTATAATGGAGTGTCGATCCAAATATACATAGCGAATATAGCCGACATGCCAACAACATATATGGATATATGTCACCAAGCAACGGACTGTCAACAAACACTCATATTATATATAATATAATATAAGGAGAATACACATTATTAAAGGAGACAAGTCCATACAAGTGAAGTGGTCACAGACTAACCGAGCAAACAGAAAGAGAGACCAACATGCACACACACACATAAATATATATATGTGGATACATATCACATTTGAACCTACAAACTCACTCATGTAGGACGAGCTCTGTAGGCTAAAAGACCCAGTAGACTCAATTAAGCAAAATAATACAATTTACAAAATACCTTCCAATGACTGTGAGTAAGGTGAACTACATAGGTCAAACTAGTAGATCGATTGTCAGAACATAAGAATTTAGCTAAGGTAAGAATGGTTGACCCTGAGAAGATAAGTAATTTAGAAAAAAGCTCAGTACTACATTGCACTGCATGCATTAACACACAACCACACAGTAAGGTGGTAGAGGGTTAAAGTTCTAAGAAGTAATCTAGGTAGGTGGAGACAGAGATTGATTACTGAATCCTGGTTCATCGAATAATCCACACCCAACACATGCAACAGAAATGACTCAATGCAAATACCACAGGGATGCATGGAAGATGTTATTACTACCAGTCAGTCAGTTAAATCAGAAGAGGATAATAAATAATCTCAAAATTCTATTTCATTTCGAACACATCACAACGTTATACCAAGTTACTTATTATGACTATAAAAACACTCGTCTTATTTCCCATCTGATTGTAATTCATCAATAACACTCATATTACTATTATTTCTGACTGTACATTATCCCATATTGATTTTTAATCCAATATCTAGTCAATTCCACTCATGTATATAAATGAAAGAAAAAAGTTGTGTGAGTGATTGAGTGCCTTGATATGATTATGAGTGGCAATAGTTTGTGCTTGAAACTTGGTCGTCAGTTAATATTACTGCGTAACACTGTAAGATTCATCAAAATAAAATCTTATCCATAATGTAACCTCGAAGGAACTCACGTTTCCTCTGAGACTGGAGTCTATATAATCCAATGTTGCAGTCAGAAACATTACCATTGAGTAATTTGGACTCACCATTGACTTGTATTAGTAACTAGTATCACACGTCTAGTACTTTTTCTTGTGCCATCTGAATTCTATCAGCCAAGTTTGCAGTGTGGCCAAGATGGTATCTGGTGGCTCGCCATCACGGTACACTCTGAACTGTTGTAGAACTTGACTGATAGAATTCATTCTGCAGCAAACAAAGACCTATAAAAACGATACTAGTTACTAATTAATGTCTCCAATCAAAGAGTTCTAAATGACTTCGCAGAATGGTTAGACGATAAAGTAAAATGCGGTGCGGGTGTGTTTGTGTGTAGGTAAGTAGGTAGGCTTAAGGTTATGTGAATGAATAAGGGAAAAACAGCTGAACAGTATTGGATTTTATTGATTTTACTGAACAGATATGTTCACTCTCACATGAAAGCTACCATTTTCAATAGAAGTGCCTCAGTCGCCCAATGGATAACATTCGAGTATTTGGAACGATAAATGTTGTGATGCAAATGTAATATTTGATTGGCGAGTAGCGAACACCGCAAAACGTGTATCTTTGATTCCACTGCCATGTAACATTCTAAGAAATTGATTTACTGGATTATACCAGTGATGTTTATAGATTCAGAATAACCAGTTAAGCATGAAAAGTATTGATACATGTCAATTAAGATTTGTTAACCGAAATCGGTCACGTATCAACTAACAGTAAAACTATCACGTTCATTGAAAATCCAGGGTCTTTACAGTCAATCTTGCTTTCTACGAACTAAAACCAAGGATTAACAGAAAGGTTTTTTTGTTGTTGATAACTATTCATGACTTAAACATGACTGGAGAAGAATTTTAAAGAAAAGATTTGCTCCTTAATACTTACATACCCTTAATGTTTTAATATTTGATTATTTCCCCGAAGAATTTCGAAGCAGTATGCCAGTTAGAATGTTGGGAGTATTTATTTTAATCTTAATGAGATTTATGCCAGTATCAGTCTGCGTCAGTTCAAACAAACGATTGTAGCTAAAACAGTTAGGGGAGGTGAGAAATAATCCAACCTGGATGAAGGTGATTGTGTTTGTATCCGCTAACACCAGTCACTAGTTCATTGAAGGCACAGAAGTCAGCCAAGAGTTCTCCATTTTCATTTATTTCTCCGAGAGCTTCTCTATCCATGATGAGTTCTCTTCTTGTGTTGTCTGATCCCAGTTTGGCGTTCATATCTCCCATTAGTATTTTCATGTCACCAGCTGGAGTATTGTCTATTGTTGCCTGTAGTTGGATTTGAATCTGGCGGTCATTATCCTGGGCGAGATCGCCTCCCATTGCATCAGAGCCTTCGTTGCCGTTGGTGACATCATGATAGCCACGCCTTCGGTGTGTGTGTGGTGGGTGACCGGATGAAGGCGATTATTAAAGGTATTCTGGTCATTACATGTCTTCAACTTGATAGCATCAGTCGCATCACGATTTATGATAATACGAACTATACAGCCTCTATGAAGGCAAATACGTTCCTTTAAGACTGCAGATACGCCGGTCTTGGTGACTGGTAAGTAATAACAAGCACGAAAACCAAGTGAGGTGGGGCATCCTGCGAATCACCTCCAACCATCTAATATACAACCTGTATTGGTGATTAATGTCAATACTGGGGACGGTTTACACCTACCGGTAGTGGCAAATAATCGGATTTAGGTGGTGGTGATTATCACGACGAGGATTGTGATAAGTTGACTACTATAAATGGTTAGTTGGTGCTGAGATCACCTGTTCCGCCTAATCAACACTAACTTTTGGTGAAGGAGACTTCACATTTCCCATGTCAACCAAGTAGTATATGCTAAATACCCTTTTTTCTCATTAACTTAACTACAGTGATACTATCTAGCACGAGGGAACAAATGGTGATCTAACCTGAATAAAGCGCATAGACTTCTGGGTGTAACAGCTGTCTACACGACTTCCCACTTAATTTTTTTTTGATTACAGCTTGACTCCACACCGTATTTTTGGTACAAGTATGGAATTTTCAGCATGGATATCGGTAGCCCAAAATTCGCAGGCCAACCATAGATATCAGGTGTGCGTCGGCGTGGGCTCGAACCTCGGACCCTGTCCATGGTCGGCGAGAGTGCTAACCACTGTGCCACCGACGCAAAAAATCTATTAGTTCAAGTGTTGGTTTGTAGGGATTTGACTGGTTACAGGATTTTCATCATGAGGTAACATTAGTTACAGAACCATTGGGAAACCTGAGAGTACTGGACAGCTGTTTTGTCCTAGTTTGGGACTCTTCAGCAGTACGCACCCACCGGGATTCGATCCCAGGATCTTCTGGTTATATTGGATCGGGTCCCAGTGCCCTAATGGTATACGAGCTC